CAGGTGTAAACTGACGCGTGCTTGTAAGTTCCGAGTGGTGTGTATATATTGTTTCCACAAGCTCTGGACCGCTCCCAAAGCGTCAGTCTGGCGTTTGGAACGCCCAAGATGTCGCGGCGCGCTTGTTGGACGAAATTCGCGCCCGCGCGCGGCCGGCCGATTGGATTTTGCGTGGATTTGCGCCGTGTAACACGATAGACACGGGACACGGTGAAATTATTCCAACAGCGAGACCGCGTTAATGTTGTATAATAGCAATTAATAGCATCGGCTCCGAACGCGGGGGATCGGCGAATCCCGTTAATGCGCGACCGCAAATGAGCAAAGCCGCTGCATTATAAATGGCCCTGTAGATAGCGTAATCGCTGTCGAATTGTTTAGAGTGATTCTCGCCGATCGATCCATTGCGTCGCGCTGTCTAAGCGAGCGGACCGCAGCGGAGACGGAGCCGACTCGGTCGAAAGAGCGGATTTTCATCCGCGCGCGCGAGAGAGAGAGAGAGAGAGAGAGAGAGAGAGAGAGAGAGAGAGAGACCTCGTCGCGTCGACGGAAAAGAAGAGCCGACCGGGCAGAAGGCCGTGGGGCTCAGCGAGGCTCTAGCCGGGGAACGTTAATTTTAAGATAATTCCTCATCGCGTTGGGTAAATAATATCCTTCCTGACGCGCGCTGACTCGCGCTCGATTATCGTTACACCGCTCTCTACGGCACGCGGGGATATTCGCGAGTCGCAGCGTCAAGCGTGCAAATAACCTGATCGACAATTATCCGCCGACGAATAACGACGCCGGGCCGCCGGGCGCGGCGAGCCGCGGGGCACCGTTTTAAACAGGCCAAGAAAAATGTTATTCCAGCAGCTATCGGTTTTCCGAATCGGCCATCATATATCGTCGATGCGGTGTGTGAAAAAGAACGAGCGCGGCCCGCGCTTAGCGCGCACGAAACGGCGAACGACGTATCACACATATAGGTTCCCCCCCGCCCCCCGTCGTGTGAGCATTTGATGAGGAGAATCGCTATCACTCAAGCCTAGCAAGCTCCGCGATTTAAAGCCGCGATAATTGTCCGGTGTCGCGCTATCATCGTGGAGTTTATGATATCGCCGTTTCGCCCAGGTTTCCCGCCGGGGCTCTCTCGAATAAACGTCGCGAAATTCGCGGTCACTTCGGAGCGCGCGACAATTGCGATAAGCCGCGATAGAAACGCCCGGGTGAAATCGACGCCTCACTTTGCAGCACCGCAAGATCCAAAGCAATTTCTATTTACACCGACGGCGGTTCGAGCGTTTTTGACGGGTTGCAATATTCCGACGAATTGACGAACAAAATACGCTTTATACGAAAATACGCGTCATATTCTCGTGGCACGGGCTAGTCTCGCTTTGGGAAAAGTCCTTTCAACTGTCGAATCTCACAATCCCAAAGAACTCCTATATAGTCTTTAATTATTTTTAAATATTTTTAAGAGACCTGCCTGAAATTCCAAAAGCAGTCGTTAGACCGCGTGTGCGCAGGTGAAAAGCAAACGAAACGTTGATCCTGCGTTAGATCTGGCTGAAAGGAGGAGAAGTGTCAACGCCAGCGGTGTGAAATCGTGATTCAAAAAGAAAAGAGAGGAAAAGGAGAGGAGGGAAAAAGCCTGGAAAAATAAAGGTAAAAAGCCCACGGGCCGTCCCATCGCACGGACCATAATATCACTATAGCGTGTGGCGGACGGAGCGTAATAATCGAGGAGAATCAATTCTTTCTTCCGCGTATTATTATCCAATACGAGGTAACGTGCAGCACTCATTAAGCGTGGCGCGAGAAGTCTGCGGTCTCAGACCGGCCGGAGCACTCGAGAGAGAACTCGATGGACTTTGCGGAAACCAGAAAGGATAACGCAAGACGACGAAGCGCGAGGACGGCGACGTGAAACGCCGGCGCGGCAAGCGCGCATCTTCCTGCAATTATGTAAGGCGTTGTAAAATGGATAATTTACAAACTTGGCGCGGTGCGTTGCAAACGGGGGAGTACAATGCGTGCAACTTATTCAATATGCAAGCAACTTTCGAAACGATAGGCGTGTTCCGTGAAGAAAGCGAGAGAGATGAGGCGGCAGGGGAGGGGGCCGGCGGTTTTGCGCTATGAGGCGCAAAATCTGGCGAGCGAGAATCTCTCGGCTGCCGCTGACCTGATTCCGCGGCGCAATTTAGCGCACTTTAGCCCTTTCAAAGCGCGACAGCGCGAGTGTGTAAATTAAACGGAAGTTGATCCGCTCATTTATGTTACACCGGCATCTTTTATCGCTCTACTGCGCCACCGACACGGAGCGCTCACTCGCTCGTTCTTGGACCCCCTATATTTCGCTCGGCAAGTTACGTGTACCGGCGCGTCCCGCACGCCGCCGGCGAAGTTTATAAAAGTTATCCGTTTACATCCTACGTAGACGGGCTCGCGCGGAGAAAGAGCGAAGTTGCGGCGTGAAAAGCGAGCGAGGAAGCAGCGAGAAACGAGCAAGACGGAGATATGACTTACGCAACAACAGCAAATAACGCTAATGAGCTCGCTCCTCGTATTCTTTCAAGCCCCCCCCCTTTTCTCTCTCTCTCTCTCTCTCTCTCTCCTTCCCTTCCTCCTTCCCCCTCTCTACCCTGCTCTACTCTACACACACACACACACACACTCTCTCTCTGCCTCTCTCTCTTTCCTCGGAAAGAACTCGATGCTGAAGAAGAACCGTTGCTACAAAATCCAACCGCCGACACGTAATCGCGTCTCTTAGAAGACGACGTCGTATATTGTGCGCTGTATATTTCTGAGATACACCATACACATTGTACACAGTACATTGCGACGTGTGTAGCAAAAATGTCTCGCGGACAAAAGTAGCAGTGATATAACAAAAATAATAAATAGTGCCTTGCGCGGAAATAGTTTTCCCGTCGCTGGCCATTGATGATTAATTGTCGGAATTCTACGCGGCATTTCGACGAGATTTATCAAATAAGTGGGAGTGGGAGACGCCCGTGTTATCGTTTCTCTCTGGCGCGAATATTTACCGCGAAATAATCGTCTTTGCGGATTTCCACGGCAATTTGATGGCAATTTGCCGGCGAACTGTCGTGTGACACGTATAAAACGCGATGAGCCGTGCACGGCAGCGAATACTATCGAGGTCGGTCAGCAATATCTTTCGTGAACGCAGCGCGAATGCAAGTGAGCGGCGAGGGCGATTAGGATTAGCACGCGTGCACGGGCATCATCAAACCGACCCGATTAGATATCGCGAAAAAGCCGACCCGAGTGCACGACCGCCGTCATGAGCATTCGGCAAAATGCGACCGCGCGTTTCCGAGCATTTCCGTCCGTCCGTCCGTTTCGTAATGCGTTTCCTCCGCACGGTGTCATTACGTGTCTCGCGTCATCATTATTGCGTCAACGTAATAAAGTTTACCGTAACGTCGCGAAACAGAGAGAAGGAGTCGACATCTATTATTCGGGTGTCCTCATTCGTCGCATTCACACACAGGATGAGGATTTCGCCATCGCGTTGAAATAATACCAAACTGTCCAACGTAACGTCGAAATGTATCGATAGATCGTGCCGTCCTTAGCCCTTGAAGCATCATCGTGAGAAGTGCAAAGATACACGCGGGTATGACGCGTCATGTAAAATAAAGGTTATCAATTTTCCTTATTTTCCGTACACGTGACACTTTTCAGCCTGCTGAAAATACTACAGCCTCATGCACGGGCGGACAGAATCGAATTCCACCGTCGTGTTCGCGGATTTTCTCGCGCGGCGTGTTCTTCTCACGTCGCTTCTCCGGCCATCTCCAAAGAGAGATTTCTTTCGAAAATGCTTTGTATCGCGAGGAGAGAAACGTGGACGAGGTATGAGGCGGCGGCAGATAATACGAAGCTTCTCATGTATCATTGTTTGAAGAGCCGCAAACGTGTCAACGGACGTAATCTTCGCTCTTTACAAGGCGTAAATATGAGAAAACGCGGCTGGCTGGGACACGTCGTGTAACGAAACTTGGCATTAGGTTTTGCAATTTTTCGTACACGATATTTTTACGCGCTGTGCGAAAAAAAAAAACACACTTCCGAGGGATGATACATGTGGCGACGCTCTCTCTGTCACGAAATAACGCGACACACACGCGCCGAGTGCAGTAAAACACAGCGGAAAATATAAAATTTTGATAGTTCTCAGAGTTTCAGAAAGCATACTTCCCAACTTTTTATAGATGACGTTTCTCGCCAACACTTTTCCGGCCGCGGTGCGGAGGAGCATAACGCCGGACGATAAAACAGTCGGTGCAATTGCTCTTAAAACGCTGTCGAAATTTCGCGCGATCGCGCGGCATCAAACGATGACAATCGAATATTTTGTAGCACTACTTCTCGATTTTTCAGAGAGACAAGAGTCAAAGAGGTTTTTTTTTCTCATCACACACAGCAGCACAGTACCATTTTCAGTAGTCGACACTCGAGCGGCCCGCGTCCTGACAAAAACGTCATGTTTCATCAGCTTAATCGACAAGACACTCGACGACAATGAACGTGGCGAAAACGCGCGGCGCGCGACAGCCTCGAACTTTGCCGCGGCGGTGGAATTCGCAGCGGCCGGGAGAAAGCCGTTACTCGTATATCCCGCTCAGTAATGGCATACCCCCTCCCCCCGCCCCATAAAGAAGCCGCTTTTCCACTTGTTAGGCAACGATACCACTTGGCGGCATCGCGAGAAAAACGCGTCGATGTGTACAAGTCAACGGATAACAAGCGTGACGTACGCGGGACAAACGCATTGCGCGCGGAAGGAGATAATGTCCGCAACGGTAAGACTTGCGAACGGGACTCGTCTTCGGACAGGCGGACGAACGTCGGTCGTCAGCGTTGCTAGAGCTAGTTAGGCTACCGGAGCCGGATAGGTTATGTATATCACGCGAGATCGCGAGGGAATATCGCGAATCCGACCTCCTCAATCGGATTCGCCATGTGTCTCTGCCACATACCTGGACTGGTTTGCCAAGACAGGCCGCCGATGAACATTTTCCTAGAAAAGAAAGACGATTCCATCAGGCACGCCGTCCGGCAGCGGGTCGTTGACGGAAGAGGAAGCGGACGCGGGGAGACTGCCGGCAGAGGGTAACTTCCGGTTACTACTTTTGCAACCCCCTGCGCAGTCTCCCGCCCTCGGCGGCAGGTGTCACCACACATCAACCAACAATCGAACAACACCCGTCTCTTCTTGCCACGCGAACACGTTTCGACGCGCCCCGCGGAGACCGGATCTTCCGCGATCACGGACACAACGCGAGCTACGCGCCTCCTCCTTGGACCGGCGCCTCCGTCTCGTATCCTTTCCTTCTTCTTCTTCCTCTTCGGTGCCAGCCGCTCACCGATCGATCCACCACCACTGATCGACCGGTCGTTCGACCCTTTGCTACTCTTCTCTTTCTCTCTTTCTTTCCCCCCTTCTCACTCTCTCTCTCTCTCTCTCTTTCTTTCATTCTCTCTCTCTCTCTCTCTCTCTCTCTCTCTCTCTCTCTCTCTCTCTCTCTCTCTCTCTCACACACACACACACACTCTGAGGGGGAGGTTCCGTCCACCTTGATCCGCGCCGCGCGCCGGAGGGACCTACTCACGATCTATTTTAGTCTGATGAAATCGACGGAAGAAACAAATTAATCGAACTGCTAACCAAACCCGAGCGTCGCTCCCACAGGAAGATTTCAGCGCATAGACGCTGATATTTTGTCGTAGCTCTCTTCCTCTCTCTCTCTCTCTCTCTCTCTCTCTCTCTCTCTCTCTCTCTCTCTCTCTCTCTCCCTCTCTCTCAACATTCCGCAAAAATTCGCCAGCTGAAAGACTCGGCAGAGCTTCGTATATTTCGATTTTCACAAGGCCCGCCAATCGACGCCCATAAATCCAACAGCTGTTACGTAAAAACCAACGAAGCTTTAGCGAGCGAATTAATTACATTCGTGGAGCACCGCCTCGTGTCGGGAAGGTTCCCAAAGCGAACACGCGCCGTTTATCGACCAGCACCGCGAGGTGGAAAATCCGCGTGCCAGCTGCTTTACGACTTCGTCATAAAGGATCGATGGACAGGTTCCACGTGATTGTTAATTACCGGCCTGCGTCGGGGAGTATCCGGGCGACGTGCGTTTGCTTAAAGGCTTTACGACAATCTCCCACCGTCATAAAGAGCCGCAGATGAAGACCTCGCTCCATCAAGGTCGTCGAACGATAAAAAACGCGACTGCGCTACGACGGCTTTTTAGGTCAGCCGCGAGCGCGACTCGGTCCGCGAATAATCCGGATGATCGGGAAGAACGCTGCCGCCGGCAGCGTAATCGCCGCTCTCTTCGAGGCGGGGAATCGCACTTCCCGCGCGCCAGCCTACCACCGACGACCATAATCGAACCACGTACGCGTCATTAATTAGCCGGCTTAAGTATCCGTCAGCGTGCATCGATAAGGAAACGACCTCCCACCCTTTTCATTCATGACTTCCCCCCTTTGCCCTTCCGCCGCGCACGCGGAAGGGGGCCCCCACTCCGCGGGTTCGCTCGTGTTGCTCTTCATCGCCGTCGTCATCGTCGTCGTCGTCGTCGTCTTCGTCGTCATCGTCGTCATCGTCATCATCGTCGTCGTCGTCGTCGTCGTCGTCGTCGTTGTCGTCGTCGTCGTCGTCGTCGTCGTCGTCGTCGTCGTCGTCGTCGTCGTCGTCGTCGTTGTAGTCGTCGTCGTAGTCGTCGTCGTCGTCGCAAATAATCGCGCCTCGCATTATTACACAGCGAGATAACGCTCCCGCTTGGACGTGGACGTAATCACGTGGTGGCGCATTTGAACATCGATTTTCCCGAGCCGCAATATAGCCATCTTTCTCCCACGCGTTCCCTCTCGCTTTCTGTCTCTGTCTCTCCCCTTCCTCCCGCCGCGCCGCCACGCCGCTCGCCCACACTCTATAGCTCTCTCTCCACCTCTATCCACCTATCCATCTAGATCCTCCCAATTGGAAGAATCAAAGTGAGCTACCGTTTCCTAGCGCGTAATCATCGCCGGAGTTAACTCTGGAACGACTATTATCCCACAGATCAATTCGACGCGGGAATAACTTATTGCTCTTAACGCGAATGTCGCAGAGAGTTTACGCTTTTCGGAGAGAAAGGAAAAAAAAGAGAGAGAGAGAGAGAGAGAGAGAGAGAGAGAGAGAGAGAGAGAGAGAGAGAGAGAGAGAGAGAGACGTTTGCGAAGAGACCGAGATAGCTGAGATAATTGTCGACATTCCGACGTTATCGTAAATGTAATTATTTTATGACGTTGGTGTAGTTATTTCATCTCGACCGTTTTCACAATTTTAGTTGATATCATTTAGAGTGTCAAACGGGAAATACACGTATCTGGCTCGCATATATGTTTACACGCTTGCTCTTTTTAGAGAAAAGTGCCGATACACACAGCCACGTAGAGTATATTCCAACGTTTATTCGAAAATCTAAACACGCAGCTGCAAAGATCTGTCAATAACTTGTCCGTCGTGTCGTATTGTCAGTTCATTCGTATTGTCAATTTCCGTTTGGATCATCTCTAAGTATATTTATACTACGGCGTACATTCAATAGATCGATTCGGGGAGCATGCACTCCGGAAGATTCACTCAAGGATTTTGCTCGCAATGGCCTGCAATGAATCGCGTATCGGAAGCTAGACGGACTGCGCAAACAATTGGACAGTTTTGGTTTTCTTCTGGATATAATCAGCTAAGCGAATCGCGTCGCTTGTCGAGTCGAGCTTAAAAGAGCACGTGTCGTTGCAAGAAATCCGAGTAGCCGACCGATTCGAGCATATATTCGTGTTATAATTTCCTTCTGTGTGCACAAATATATTTTTATGTATCGAACGATCCTAGCCGAGGGAATTGCTCAGAAGAATGCAAGCAAACGTTTGCGTTGTAGTTTCTCAACGTCCACACTCGGGATAAAAGTCAACCGGCGGATGTTCACCACGCGACAGACGAGAATTCGCGATTTTCCTCGAGCGGACGACATTGCACGCGCGGTAGGAAGAACATTTCCGAAGAAGAAGCAAAGCCAAAACCGTTCGTCGCATCAAGTTCATCAACGAATAATTCGGAGCACGAGTCGATCGAGTGGTCGACCAAACTCGGACACCGTCTGATGAACATCGCGCTTGACACGGAGCGATCTAACGAGTGCTAATCAATTTGGTAACCCGCGCTAATGGCGGTCAATGACGCGTTCACCCACCACGAACGCGAGCACAAAAGCCGAGTGACGCGTTTTCCGAACATGAAATTTCTCATCGTATCGGACGAGCATGAAATCGTGACCACTGCGCGACCACCTAGCGAATTCAACGACCATCTAGCGATTAGAATCGATTCGGTATTTCATGGTCGTCATAATCAGCGATCTAATCAGTTTATCGAGCACAGCCGAAGGTGAACGAAATCCTCGCATATTACTTCAAACAGCGAGGGTCTCGGCAGACAAACGTGTTAAGTCCGGACACAAACAATCCAGCGGAACGGAATCGATTCGATATCTCGCTGGCGTCTTAGTCAGCGACATGATGTAATCAGTTGGTCAAACACATAGCGGAATCATCGCGCATCCTCCAGCGAACCTCAAGTATACCGGACGAACGTTAAATCAGGCAGCCAGCTACCGGCCGATCGATCGATTCGGGCCGAAAGCCCGAAACCTCGACTCGAAATCACACTGCATGTGTCCCCCCCCTCTCTCTCTCTCTCTCTCTCTCTCTCTCCTTCGCGAGCCCACCCGAGCCGAGGTCGCGCCTCCGTTTCGTCGCTGCGAGAATCACGTGACACGACCACGCGTGATCACGCCGGAAGAGAGTCGCGGGGTCCACCACGTGGCCATCGCGCGAGACGCGCTCTTCACGTGTGGTATTCCGAGATTTCGCGTTCTTTCGAGACGCTGCGAAGTACAGCCGGCTGTAGGTGGCTGGCGGCGGATTCGAAAGGTGGCGGCATCCTCCTCATCCTCCCTCCTCCTCCATCTTCCCATTCATCCGACCCTCTCTCCCCCACCCTCACACCCGCCCTCGCCGGCGCGAGGGGGTACCAGACGCTGAAAGAAGGCGCCACCGGTCCGAGGAGAGGCACGCATATTCACGCGCCCGGCAAACATAAACACCATGCGTGTCGCGCGGGTTCCATGGCGGCAATCGCATTCTCGTCGTCAACGGCACCCGCTCGGGTCGAGACCACGACGAAGAGGTCCGACCCGCTTGGAAATTGTGCGATCGCAGCGTTATAATCGGCACTGGCACGGAGCAGAGGAACAGAAAACACAAGCTTTCCTGAGGACGAGAGTTTGTCGCGCGGCATCATATCAACGCACTGAGAACGAAAACGCTCCATTTTTTCTTCCCTCCCGCCCCCCTCACCCAATCTCTTTCTCCTTTCACACTCTCCCACGCATCCATACACGCATACACCCTCTCTCTCACTCTCTCTCTCTCTCTTTCTCGCTCTCTTGCACCCACGCTCACTCGCGCGCGCTCTCTCTCTCTCCCTCTCATTTCGTCTTTCATTCTTTCTCACTCTCTCTCTCTCTCTCTCTCTCTCTCTCTCTCTCTCGCTCTCTCTCTCGCTTTCTCTCCCTCCCACCCTCGTGTGGTCGATCGTTGATGGTCGATGTGGTGGAACGTTTCGGGGTTGCCTGGGGGTTGTAAACGGAGTGGAGCCGCCGTTCACGTGGTGGACGGTGACAACCTCCGTGAACCGTCATATTCCCTCTTTCTCCGTACCCTGGATCGTTCGGCACCTCGGCGGGCGAGCCGCTCGCTACGATCTCCTGGTTCTGGGACTCCATAACGCGCGGCGCACGATTATTTGTCGTCGTCGTCGTCGTCGTCGCGAGGCTCTCGCGTGCCCGGGGTGGAAGCGACCGCGTTCGCCGAGTCTGCTCGCGTATCCGTCCGGGGTGGCGGTGGTGCTGCTGCTGCTGGTGGTGGTAGTGGTGGTGGTGGTGGTAGTGGTGGTGGTGGTGGTGGTAGTGATGGTAGTGGTGGTTGTTGTTGTTGTTGTTGTTATTGTTATTGTTGTTATTGATGTTGATGTCGTTGCTGCTGCTGTCGCGGACGGTGTCGTCGTCGGTGGTCGCGGCGGTGATCTCGTCGCCGACGGCAGCGGCGAGCGTCGTCGTGGCGATGCTCGTGACGTGCGAGGGGATGGTTTCACGACGCGCGCGAGACTTTCCCCGGAACTTACTCGTCGCCGGTGCTCCGATTTGCGTTTCGGAGCTTCCTCGTGCGGCTACTTTCCCTCCGTCTTCCCGTCCTACCCTCTCTCACGCTCTGTGTTTTTCTCTGTCTCTGCCTCTCTCTCTCTCTCTCTCTCTCTCCCTCCCTCTTTCTTTCCCTCTCGCCCTTTCTACACCTCAGTCACTCCACAATCACGGAGGGTGGCGCGTATACGGTGATGATCGCGCGGCACTACGACAGGAGCGCGATTATCGACGGCGAAGGAGGCGTGCGAACGGGTTTAAAGGTCAGGATACCCGCGCTTGTCGCGTCGAATCACGACGATGACGATGACGACGACCACGACAGCGGCGTGGATGACGACGACAACGACGTGGAGGACGAATACGAGGACGATGACAACGACGACTAACAGAGCACACGAGAAAAAAGGCTGTCGACCTCTCGCACTCGCTCGCTCGCTCTTTCTCTCCGACTCCGATGTTACTCTTGCCTCGTCTCCCTTCGCGCGAATTACTTTCTCTTCTCTCTCTTGCTCTCGCTCTCTTCCTCTCTCCACACTCTCCTCACACTACCGACTACTAAAAACTAAGGAGAAGGTGAGAGGTTACGTGGCTGCGCGGTACGGCAACTACTGATGACGGGCGGCGGCCGGTACTCGGACGTACGACGCGTTCTGCGAGAGGTTCAACGCGACACTGCGCTCTTGGAGCGGGGCGGGGGGAAGGGGCGTCGCGGGGAAAGGGGCATGTAGTGGCGGCGGCGGCAGCAGCATCGGCGGCGGCGATGGCGATGGCGATGGCGGCGGCGGCGGTGGCGGCGGTGGCGGCGGCGGCGGCGGCGGCGGCGGCGGCGGCGGCGGCGGCGGCGGCGACGGCGGCGGCGGCGGCGGCGGCGGCGGCGGCAACGGCGGCGGCGGCGGCGGCGGTAGTAGTAGTGGAGATGGAGATGGCGGGGAACGGCGATATCAGTGCGACGGAGGTGGAAGAGAATATCGCGCTTGCGTCGTCCCCACTCACGAAGTATCAGCCGCCAAGAGGCGGAGGGGAACGTCACGACCGCGTACCCGCCTCCGGTGGCGGCCTGCTCGCCTGCTCGCTCGTTCGCTCGCTCGCTCGCTCACTCGCTCGCTCGCTCGCTCGTTCGTTCGCTTGTTCGCTTGTTCGTTCGTTCGTTCGTTCGTTTGTGCGTTCGCTAGCGGTAGCGCTAACATTAACGTTAGCGCGAACGGGAGAGCGAGAGAGCGAGAGAGAGAGAGCGAGAGAGAGAGAGAGAGAGAGAGAGAGAGAGAGAGAGAGAGAGAGAGAGAGAGAGAGAGAGAGAGAGAGAGGAAAATAGAGCAAATGAGAGAAGGGGAGAAGAGAGTGCGAGCGGGGTGATTCCCCGCGCGAAAAAGTCCGACCACCCGCGCGCCTGCACTACTTGCTTCACTTCCTCGCCTCCGCGTGAGCGGCGGTCGAAAGCGCAACCCTCGCGCGAGTAACGCGCGAGCGGATGTTTTGGAAAAATTATTCATCGGCGTGCTTCTCTCGCATTCTCGTCCGGCATGATCGTACATACTTTTTATGACTCGACCACGAAGGAATGTTTCAGATACGATTGCTGCGCACGCGTTTGGAGGAAATAAAAATAGGACGCGATGAGAAGATAATACGTGAGTACGTGATGTAAGACTGTACGGGACGGGTTCGAGTGGGGTAACAGCGCTCGCAAAACCACGCCTGAGGAATCATACCGCAATATCTTGTAGCGTGATAATCGAAAAGGGAACATGGAGGTTGCATTATACGTTCTACATACGCAATCGCTCGCACGCGCGCGTTTCGACGTTTGCATAATTTTTCTGTAATGCTATTTTATTGGGAAATACTAGGAATGTTAATGACCGCTGATTAATGCGAGCCGATGACTTCACATCACTGATCATCCGAAGGTGGTATGTGTGAATATCGCCCGAGCTCGTTCCTTCTGCAAATAGCATATAATCGTCTTGTACCTCTGCTCGATTATATTGATTTATGCAGATTTTCATGTCTGCATCGCGTTTCATCGCGTCCTAGTCAATTACACGAAAACAAAAAGAAACAAGCGGAAGTGACTGTCGACCTACTGCCAGAGTATGGAAAGCAAGGGGTTAATAGTTGCCCCGTTTCTCTCGTCCGTGTACATCTCGCGCCCACCCCCTGTCGACTATTAATTTGCCTTTCAATGCAGTGCCGGTGATTATCGATTTGATCGGTCGAAACCTCCGGCAGCATTTTTGCCCGCTTCTAAAGTTTATCGGACCGCGTGTGTTTCCACTAGTTTTAATAGAACCGTCGAATGAGCGGTTCGTTTGTGCAACATATCATTCCCAGCCGTTTGCCTTTCGATTTGACGTCGACCTAATCGAATTTTCTACGCGATCGTACGATTTATCCAGCGCTGGTGATAACGCCGTTCGTTCGCGATAATTTGCAATTGGCATTCCTTTGCCGGGATACCGGCAACAATGGCTTAATGAACTCACAACTGTACGCCGAGCGTCGATACCGCGTAGGTAAAAACGCTTCAGCCGAACGAACGGTGAAAAACACGGAAATCGAGAATCAGCCGCTGCTAACGAAATCTTATTATCCGATTAATCTCAAGTAAACACCAACTGGACAAGGAAATTTGTTCGACGTGTAATTGGAAAAATGAACCGATGCATATTCATCTCCGCGACGCGCAGCGCGACGACAATGCATGATATTAGACAGTCGTTCTGTTAGTCGTATTTCAAATTTACATAGCGTATCTTGTATGATTTAGACCAGCGCGGAGCGTACTACGATATTTTGTTTTCTTCGTGTGCCGCATACACAGACGTGCTGTCGTACTTAATTTCATCCATCAAGAGAAAGTCAACTCGAACGTGCCTCACGTGCCTCGGAACGCGACACGAGGAGGAATCTGATAATAAAAAAAAAAAATAAAAAAAAAAAGGAAAAAGGGAAAAAAGGGAGAAAGCGTGTAAACTAGATTAAACGATAAATTTAGTCCGATATACGCGGAAATTTATGTGCAAATGTTTCAAACGTATTAATAAACGTGTCGCGTCAAGCAACACGTAGCAATCGTCATATTTGCAGGACTAATTAAATTAACGCAGCTCGTATAAACGATTTTCGCGACCTGTATCGACCTATTGCTATACTCAATGGCTCGTGAGAGTGACATATATCGCGATACACTCGGAAATGGTAATTTAACACACGGTATCGACACGTGTCACATTATGTTCTGTATTATTTTTATTGCACTCGTCGCGTTTCTTAGGGTCTCGCGGCCGATCGGCGCGTCGCGAGCAATTAGTGGCGTGATTACAATTATTAACGTAACGTAATTTCACGCCAGCGATATATTCCCATCGCCGATGGCCGGCTTATCGATTAGTGCCTCGTGTCAATGATATATTCCACACTAGTTCGGGATAAATCAACCGATTTCACGCGACAACAGAAATAACCGATGGAATCCGCGCGCACAGCGCGGCTGACGCGCTACGAATGTTTTTATAAAAATTCACGACTGTACGAAGCGTATCGCGTTAGCGAATAACATGAATTCTCAACGTTTCTCCTGCGTGTGATACCGGCGAGTGTTGAATTCATCGTATAATTACCCGACAAATTGAATACGTTGCTCGATTATGTTACTTGATAATCCTCCATTATATACTTCGCGATTGCGACTGCGTCGCGGCACACACTCCCCCCGTGGAAAATGAACTGCCTGCGCGCACACACACACACACACACACACACACACACACATACGTGTCCTTTCAAGATAGCGGGTTGTCAGTCGCGTTACATCGCTCCAACGCGATATTTCTTCCCACAATCTCATCCGCGGAACAATAACTGATGATCGCATGAGATTCTCACACGCACCGACAAACCTTCTCCTTCTCCCCCCGTCGTTAGTTTAGTCTATCGGAACGTTGGGCAAGAATAAGGTCTCTCTCTCTCTCTCTCTCTCTCTCTCTCTCTCTCTCTCTCTCTCTCTCTCTCTCTCTCTCTCAAAAGGAGCACGGTGTAGTCGGGTGGAATCGCGTCGAGATAATCGCCTTAACTGAAAGTGAAACGCAGGGATGCTTTAACATTCCTGCCTTTCTAGTCTTGCCGGAGAGATTACACGTGAAAATGCGGATCAGTAAATCCCCGCAATCTCTTCCACGATTTCCACATACGCGCCGCGAATTTTTAAGTCGATAAGGTCGAACGCGAGTTCCTGCAGAATTCGCGGATTCCGTCGGGCAGCGAGGCGGACGGAGAGATTCGCGAGAAATCGTTATTCACAATAAGTAGTCGCGAAGGACTCCCCAGGCTGGGGCTGTCGCAATCGTGACCGTCTGCTCCTGATGATATATCCCACGGGGTCGTCGGGAACTTGCCAATCACTATTCGGGGATTTACGCCGTCCCCGAAGTGACCTCGCGGCAGCTCATACAGAATCGTTCTAAGCCATGTGACATCGCCCGGCTACGTAGTGCATCTCCTTCGGCCAAAGGTCCGTGATCGCACTTGCCGCATCGGATTTGCATAATACGAGGGCGAGAGCGGGACAGAGAGAGAGAGAGAGAGAGAGGGGGGAGAAGGTGAGAGAGAGAGCAAGATTTCGTGGCACACACGTCACGTGGCTGGTGGCGTGGTGGACATGCACGTACCTTGAAGGATCAAAATTCGTCGTGCGAAACGCGATCGCAAATCCCGCGGAGGTTCCCAAGTCGAGCTAGTTTGACGATAAATCC